ACGAGCGGCCGGCGGTCTCGACAAAACGACGTAAAGACAAATGACGGGACGAAAACCGGATTCTAATTGTGAGTCCCGAAGACCCGAAAACGACGACGGAAGAGCGGCCCGGCGGTCTTCAGGAGGAATGAGGGTTCGAAGAATAGATGAGCGGGGGCGGGTCTTTTTGACCGGAAAGGACGAACGAGCCGAAAAAGACGGCGTGAGAGTCTCCCAAAGCGTTGTCCGTCGACAAGTTGGTTTTGGTGGCGAGGCGAGGGAGGTTTCAACAGAGAAGAAAGTCTTCTTTTGGGATGTTACAGCGTAGGTTTCTGATGTAACAACGCTCAAAGGATGGTATTAGTTAATGAAAGGTAAATTTGGGGATAAATTTTTGGGGTAGGGTATTGTCTATCTGTACTTAATTTTTGGGGGGCTGATGTATTTAATTTGCTGTATAAGGGCTTTGTGGTTATATGGTTTTTGGGCTTGGGGTGGGGATGAATGGGCCAAATTAAGTTGGTTCCCCCAAGCAATTTTCCCTTTAATCTATTACAGATAAGACATAATAGAGAACAAGGTCATTTTGGAGAGTACATAATACAATATAGTAGTATATACACCTAGTGCAAAGAAAAAAATTTTGAAGAGTTGTCTGGACTCTTGTAGTCTTATTTTCTTCATTTCTTAGCAAACTCCGTGGTCTTAGTTTCTTCATTTCTTAGTAAAATGTTTCTGAACAAATAAAGTAAATTCCCACCCCTTCTCTTTAACAGTCAGTTATAACAAGACAAGTTGCCACTACTGTCCTTAGCCCAAAGCTCACCAAAAGAAGAAAGCAAGAAAGAGCCATAGGCATCTGCAAAAGATAATCAAGCATGGAGACAAAGTTTCCACACGATAAAACTTTTACAGCCTTTTGAGAAAAGGGAGAATGCATACAACACTATTTTCTTTTGCCAAGGGTCTCCATCAAACAAGCCCTTTTGCTTTTCATTCAAATGAAAATTCCTGCATGGAAGTAAGGGAATTCTCGGATCTGGTACCTCTGCCACAAATCTCACTGATCGCCAGTTTTATCCAATCCTCAAAATTTTCATAACTATTGGCCTGTAGTGTTCCATCATTCGAAAGTGATGACCTGGGGATCCAATGAGATGGGGCTTCTCACTTGTTTATTGCTCTCTTTCTTTTCTTTCCTCGTCTTTTACGTTCTCACTTTTTCCCTCATTAATCCCAGTTCCATTTGAAGAGAATGAAGAGGACCAGTCAAAAAGAATGAAGGTACAACTAGACTGCCATGCATAAAGGCAGAAAAGATAGTATGAGAGGAGAGTGATGTCCCGGGATGATGATGGATTTTGATCATTGTAGGGTCGTCGTCTTTTGAGCATTTTGAGGGGGAGTTTCTTTAGTTTCCTTTATCATGTGAGCATGATTGTGTTGAGGACAACAAATATCTGCGCACCTATAAAAATTGCTTCTCTTACCCTCCCTGTAGTAGGATTAGGCCACCTATATATGCTTATAAATTATAGTAAGGGTAGGATATAATGATAGAGAAGGAATTGTTCCTGCCTCAATGATCAGGACCAGACGAAAGGAATGTCTTAGTGCATGGCCTCAATCCCGAGGACTCTATGTGGGCCTCTAATGAAGGCTGGAGCTTTGGCCTTTTGTAATGTTTAAAGCCTGGAGTTTTATCGTTTTAGCCCAACATATCAGACAACTCAGAGCATGGGATATCAACTTTCCGACCATGTGCTAGATTAAGCTCTGTTCACACAAGCTATTGAACAAACTATTTATAATGTTGTACAAGTTTAAGGATCTTTAAGTGGCTAATACATCTGGGTTTTTTTCTTCCTTAACCGATGATGTTCTAAATATTCATATCTTTGTCGCACAACAAACAATACAGACAGTTCTAATAATGACACAAAAGTTAGATTCAATCTGACTATACTTGGTCAGACATAAGAAAAGGAAATTCACTAATTTGTAAATTATCTCCGAAACGATTTCAAATATAACCAAGCAATGCTTTCTCCTAATCCTCAATCACATCGATTGCATCTAAAACTAACAAGATGTAGGACTTATCAGAGTTATGCTCAGCTTAGTCGGATTCTGAAAATATGATGATTCGTTTCTACCAATAGTTTGGATTAGCTACCAAAGAAAATAAAAGAAATATAGAAAAAAGGAATCTTGTAAACACTGTTTACAATCAAACTCTAGCAGTAGGGATGTTAGATGACGAATTGAGCATCCAAAGACAAGCTAGCTCCCATTATTGACAAATGGGCCAGTGTACATTCATGTCTTTGCTTCCATATAGGCACATAGTGAAAATAATATGAGCAGAATTTTAATGTGGTACTAAATATTTACCTATTTTATTTTTTGTTAGAATGGAAGACTGTTTTCTCCTTCAGTTATTCATCGAGGCGAGCTCTTATTTCGAGGATTAAGATGAGTGAATATGTTGTATCTTTTTTTTTCTTGAGGGATCAAACTATTCGTGAGCTTCATATATATTTACATCCTTCTTCTTTGTATCTTGTTTCATTATTATCTTTTTAATGAAATGCTGGGAGTTTATACCACACAGTTTCTTTCCATAAAAATTAAAAAAGGTGAGTGAAATTGGAGGGTGGAAACTGTTTGCAATATCTCCCTAGTTATGATTAGAGGTGTCATTAACCTCATTGCTCATAGATGCTATTAATAAAGTTTTTAAATAAGAAGGTAATGAAGTAATAAAAAAGATTTTCTCTGCTTCCTCAATTCTAACATCTAAAATTTAAAATACATAGGAAGATCATTCAGATTTTAATTCAGGAACCTTCATGCAAACCTGGAGAGACGTTATTTCTAATAAGGGCTTGTTTGTTTGCACGGAAGTAATTATGAAGTAGCTGAATTAAAAGAAGTAGAGGCTACTTCTGCTACTTCCAAGCAAAAAAGTATATTTGATTATCTGAAAAACTTACTTTCAATACTTCCTTAAACGCTTATGTGGCACCTACGTGTCATCCTTACCTCCAAAATATTTTTCCAATCCTCAATACTCAGAAGTAGTTCGGAAGTAGTTGAAATGCATATTAATTAGGAAATAAATAAAATTTTATTAATATTTCATTTATTAGTTACTTCTAATAACTTTTCATTGATAAATTTGCTCTTAATTTTAACAATTATTTTGTAGTAATTTGTGATGGTCGTCGGCCATCTTTTTTTAGGATGATGAGAACAGTTTGTCTATTAATTTTTTGTCTAAATATCACGTTGATATTACCATCAAAGGATCGAGGGAGGAGGGAAATTGGAGATTCATAGAAATTTATGGTAATCCGGAGTCTCATCGTAGGCGAGAGGTAAACAATTATTTTGAAGCTATGTGGTTGAAGGATTCTTCTTGCTCTCAAGTGGCGAGGGGTCATAGCGGCATGAAATTGGTTGTAACGTGCTAGATTAAATTAAAGAGCGTGATGTGACTTTGAAATTGCAGAAGCAACATGTGTTAATTACTTCCTAGTAATATTTCCAAATGTTATCCAAACAAAAAAAGTAAATGAAGAGGAAGAAGTTCTACTTTCATTACTTCTAAAAATATATGAAACAAACAAAAAAATGTTATTTCCACTACTTCCTACTTCATAGTTTTAAAAGTTACTTCTATAACATACTTCTTACTTCCAATACTTCCATTATCCAAACGGACCCTAAGTTTGTCTTTGACAAATTCTCCTGTGAAAATACTAAATAGCTCAAGCCTATATCAACCAGATGCTTCTTCTTCATCTACAACCTGTTATAAGACCTATGACACTATGTGCCTTCTTCTCAGGCTTCACCCTTCCAAAATTGGTTTAACCAACTTGATCCTAGTCGGCATGTCTCTGCACCACGTCACCCAACCAAACAAATAGTTGAGTCCACTCATGGGTGAAGTCTCTAACCCAACAAGATTAACATATTTTACCATAACATGTGATTATAAGGATTTGATATCTCCGCGTGCTCAAGACTGGCTCCCTTGGATTAAAGCACATACATCCCCCCTAAACTACAAATGACAATAGAAACCTGAAAGAATTATCTTACGTGCTTTACATGGTGATCAAATTCTCAGTGGTTGACTAATATCATAAAGATCTGCATAACATATATGCACCCAAAGTTGCCAAATTTCGCGAGTAATAGATATTCAGAACTCCGAGATTAAATACACAAACCAATTTGCTAATCACTGCAAATGAGACGAAGTGCTCACTACATTCAACCTGTATAAGATGGAAAACGCTCTACAAGAGAACCGATTACAGCCATAAAATATTTATAAATTATGCTTATTAGAAATGTAACTAAGTTAAAGGTGTATGTTAGAAAAGCATAAACAACTCATGCTTAACTGGAGAATGTTTTACTTCACAGTTCAACTAGGGGAAAGAATCACCACACAATCATACACATCAACCATTTTAATTATCAGTACTATCACATAAGCGTATCGCACATCATGAAAGCAATTAAAAGATAATTAGAAAAAGTGCAATGAACTTACTTCATCTTTTTCTTGGTCAGCTTGACACCATCCATCGTCTTCCAGCCATTTAACCAATTTAGCAAGCTACTCTCTGTATAGCTGCTACTCATTGGAAAAAGGAGTGGTCATGATTTCTTATCTCCTTCATATTTTCTCCTTGTATATAATTTCACGTTCACCTCCCCCTCTTTTACTTTGCTCAATCACCGTTCCTCTATTTATCATACAGAAAAGTAGCTAGCTTAAAAGAAATTAATACCCATAGATCCAAATAAAGAAACCATGAGACATTGAACTCATATGCAACCCAAAATAGAATAAGATGAGATATTTAAAAACAGAGCAACAGGAGACAGAAGTAATAAGCAAAAGAAATGAATAGATTTGGAGTTAACGACCACTGTGCCCGCAACATCAGTAATAATACATCATATGCTTCCGAGATTAGATGTCCTTCAAAACTCAAATTTTATGCTTCAATTTATAGACCGTAAATATCAACGAGGAGCCTAGCATCACGGAGGTAAAATTGGTTGAGTTGATTTCACAGCTCATCATCTCATCAAACTAAGTCTGTGGTCAGTTGACAGTAGAAATTTCTTGTTTCATTAAAAAAGAATTACAATATGCGAAGGATGCGTCCTCCTATAGAGTTACGAAACAAAATTGTACCAATTCCCAAACAGATAGGATTATCTTGAGTCTTCTCATGCAAAATTTTCAAATAACCGCTATCAAAAACAATTTAGGGTTTAATACTGCAGCATCAGGTAAATTTTTATGTTTTCATTGTTTAATTTTTTTCAGCTGAAAAGATATCTAATCCCTTACAAGCATTTGGCACCTACTTTGCCTCAAAAAAACCCTAAATTACGCAACAGAAGTATAATGGCATCAAATAATTCCTTTAAAGAAAGAAAACGTGAGAATTTGTAAAAATTGTTCGAAACCCTAACCTTTTATCGCGAAGAAAGGGGAATGTGCGCTGAATCCTGATGAAAGTAGGAAAGGAATTGAACTGAACAGGATTGAGAGGGGAAATTGAGAATTTGGAAGGGGGTTGAAAGATCACCCAAAATTTTGAGGAAAAGGGAAGAAATAGCGGGAAAAATAAAAAATAAAAATGACGCCTTTGAGTTAGCGGGAGACTTTGGGTTTGAAGGGATTTGTGACAGAAAATAAATGTGGGCTTTGGACTTGGGATAGATATTATTAGGCTTTGTCTTTGGGCTTTGTCTTGGGCTGTTATTGCTTCTATCTACAAATTCTGGAAGAAAAAGGTTATCCAAATTGTTAGGCATCCAGGTAAAAGAGTTTTCTGATGACCATCTACCTTTTAAATTTAAATCTTTGTTTGGCTAAAGGAAAATTTGCTTCTAGGCCCAAAATTTATATTTTCAATGTGCCCCAGCCCTTCCTATTTTTTTTAATGTTCTTTAGCCCCTCCTTTTTGAAAAAAATGTGTCCAAGCCCCTCCATCACTCCTTTTTTAATGTTCTTTAGCCCCTCCTTTTTGAAAAAAATGTGTCCAAGCCCCTCCATCACTCCTCCATCATGATTCCAGCTCATAGCCCCTCCTTTTTGAAAAAAATGTGTCCAAGCCCCTCCATCACTCCTCCATCATGATTCCAGCTCATTGCAGCAGTTGATTAAACATGCCAGTTATGATTAGACATATCAGTTGACTTAAATCCCGAATTTACCCTCATCTTTTTCATGTCAGTGGATATTAACTCTTTTCTGTAACATATTAACTCTTTTCTGTAACATGTTAACTCTTTTCTGTAAAATGTTAACTTTTTTCTGTAACATGTTAACTCTTACAGATAACATGTTAATTCTTACAGCTAACATGTTAACTCTAACAGCTAACAGGGGGAGGGAGGTGTAGGGGGAGGGGAGGGGAGGGAGGCGGGGCGGGGGCAGAGGGGGAACGGAGGAGGAGGGAGGTGTAGGGGAGGGTAAAATGGGGATTGTGTATGGAGTTTGCATGGGAACTTGGGGAGAGGGGCTTTTAATAATTTTTTCAAAAAGGGGGGGCTGCAGCACATGTTTGAAAGTTGGGGGGGCTAAGACACATTGAAAATATGAATTTGGGGCCTTGAAGCAATTTTTCTTTGGCTAAATGGTGCCTAAATACGCTATTGTTCCACCACATTTACATTTAAATAATCTAAATTATAAAAAATAATACTTTGGTATCCTAAGTCGTAAAAAAACACTTTAATATTCTACACTGTAAAAAACTGACATTTAAACACCCCATTGTTTCACGACTTTTGTACATAATCTCAATACCCTAATTTGTAAAAAAGTGACACTTCAACACTCTAAATCGTAAGAAAGTACAACTTTAATACCTTATGTCAGTTGTCAAAACATAATCCTAAGAATATTTTCTTGACAACTACACAAAAGTCCTAATGTGTTAAATTTTACAACTTAGGATATTAAAATGTTGTTTTTTATGACTTGAAATATCTAAATGTACACATGGTGAAACAATAAGAGTGCTTAAATTTTGCTCAAAAGTCACCAACTTTTCTTTTGTTATCTTAATAAAAGTTTTACTTATCAAAAAGCAGTTTCTTAAATTAGTTCTCTAAAACTAGTTTCTTAAATTTTCTGAATTTCCATTTGCTACACTATATTTGAACTTAACATACACTCACAGTCTATGGGATTAGTTCAGGAATTTAAGCTCTTCTATTCATACAATAATCTTGTTGAGGATGAGCATGATCCAACAAACAGAGAAACCATCTTTCACAACAAGAGTAATCACAACACTGATTTTTACATTACCATGATTACAGGACGAGGCTTCTACTTCAAACTTCATCCAAAAAAAAAAAAAAAAACACCAAAATTTGCCAAGAAAAACGAAAAATCTCACATCTTTCAACTACTTACCAACCTCTACTCTCCCTACTCTCCTCAGACCAATTCCTCTGGCCTGAACTCATGAAACTCACAGCACCATCTCTACCTCTGCCACCAACGTTCACCATTGCCGATCGCTCCCTCCAGTTATCACTTCCACTTCCACGTAGTCCGCATCCACTGCCTGCCTGAGCCCTGGACTGTCGCTGATCGTAACGACGCTTTTCATCAACAAAACCCCAGCCACTGCCGGAGTCCACTCTCTTGGCTCCATAATCTCCTCTTCCCCTTCCACGGCCTCTCCAGCCAGAACCAGCAACCCATCTCTCTCGAGCATTTTCAGGTACCGATTTTGATGCATCTTCAAATCTTCGCGTGTATCTCTGCTGACTGCACATTATTTTTTACATGTGAAGAGTTGAGTTAATCTGGGATTCTAAATTGATAATCAGCGTCATTGGATATGATCTACTAGAAATCAAATGTTTAGAATCAAATATTGCACGATTTCAATGCACATGCATCTCAAATGGTTAAACTCATACACAATTAAAAACATGTCTGAAGTTCTAGGTTACATACCTTGTTGTAGGTGGATGATATCCCTCATATTCATGCCACAACTGTCTTTCGACAATATCTGCCTCCGTGATTGTCTACATAAGTTACAAGCTGTAACTAATAACAATTCTATTTGCATGATAGTTACACATGATACGTATGGTAAGAGAAATTTTGTGAAGGAGTAAATGAAGCCGAGAATTAAAATGTGATGTAAATTTAGATAACAAAAAGTATACTCTAGAAGAAAAAAAAGTAAAACCTTCTCAGGTAGTGCTCCTAGTGGTCGCGGAATATGGTCATGATATTTAGGGTTTTCGAAAACTGATGACCTGCAAAGATGGTAGTGATGCACTTAGAATCAAAATGATTAATGATTTGTTATTAAAAAAAACTCACAGTACACAATCTTCAATGGTGTTTTCTGTTCCTGTAGTATTTGACATTAAAGTACAACATAAGTCATGACACAGGGATATATAGCCATTTATCTCGCAGCTGCACAAATGAATCAACATCATATTCAATTAACATGTAAAAAAAGATGCACGAGGTTAAAAGCTATATAATTAAACATAAAGAAAGTGTCAAATCATCAAATAATGAAGAGTTAAACAATAAATTAAAGAAAAAGAGCAATACAGACCTGCAATTGCATGTAATAGATACATAACAGATATAACGAAAACAAGAAGCTTAAAGAATGACTAATAACTGCATGTACATGGTGTATATAGTAGAACATATACAGTAGAAACAAGTATACCTGTTTGCATTGATCTCCTTTCTTTCAGTATCATCTTTCGACATTTTGCGAATGGAAGCAATTTCTAGCCCCAAAACATGGGACTCTTGTACAAAAATCTTCTCATGCCTGAATGAGTTTCTTTTCACTTCCTCAGCCTAGCAAAATTCATGAAGTAAGCAACACAGCCAGAAACTAGAAGGACAAATTTTTTAAAACGACTGTTTTTTAAAATTAATTAGTGAAACCGACCCCTCAGAAAAAAATTGAGCAAAATCGACCATATGAAGTGCACGGGACTGCTAGTCCCGTGCAGTTCTCCCAAATTACGCGATTTTGCTCAACATCGCGAATCCTCTTCCTCCGTTCGCAACCAGTCCCCCGCTTCCACTTCCACTCCGTTCGAAACCAGGTGGCTGGATTCAAAGTCCAAAGTCCCAAATTACGCTCAACATCACGAATCCTCTCTCTCCTCTGTTGTCATCCTCTCCCCCTCTCCCGTGACCTTCCGTTCTCCCCCTCTCTCCTCCGTTCTCATCC